CACTCATAAATTACTACCATAAATAATTTTCTAATATTCATTTCAATAGAGGAACAGAGTGATAGTATTCTTGGTATTATTTCAGTACTGATGTTTATTTACTATTAGCACTAAATAATGCCAAGGATATTGTTTGCCATTTTCACCATCGAAATACAATAATATTGTATCTTATATTATTAATATGCCCATCAGTATGTCGATGTGATTATGATATTTAATTGTTATTACAGAGTAATACTGATATAAACATGTGATTGTGTTATTTGGCTACTATCACAGAGTAATGCTGATGGAAACATCATTACATTCCGTCGAACCACAGTTTGAAATGGATAAGCAGAAATGTCTTAAGCATTTTCATCAGTATTTCAGTGTTACTTGGCTACTATCACAGAGTAATGCTGATGGAAACATTAGATTTCATCACATCACAGTTTGAAAGAACAAAGTTCGATGCGATTGTGTTATTTGGCTACTATCAAAGAGTAATGCTGATGGAGAAATAATTACACTCCATCGAACCACAATTTGAAATGATGAAGTAAAAAATATCTTAATCTTTTCCATCAGTATTTCGATGTGATTGTGTTATTTGGCTACTATCACAGGGTAATGCTGATGAAAAAGCATCAATATATCCCATCGGACCGCAATTTAATATAGTAAAGAAGAAATGTCGTAAGCATTTCCATCAGTATTTCTATGTGATTGTGTTGGTTGGCTACTATCACAGAGTTATGCTGATGGAAACATCATCACATTCCATCTATCCGAGGTTTAAAATGATGAAGCAAGAAGATCTATGGCATTTCCACCAGTATTTCGATGTGGCTGTTTCCTAGCTACTATCACAGAGTAATGCTGATAGATACATCATTAAATTGCATCGAATCGAAGTATTTCCATCAGATATCACTCGTGAATTACTACCATCAATAATTTTCATTTCAATAGAGGAACAGAGTGATAGTACTCTTGGTATTATTTCAGTACTGATGTTAATTTACTATTAGCACTAAATAATGCCGAGGATATTGTTTGCCATTTTCACCATCGAAATACAATAATATTGTATCTTATATTATTAATATGCCCATCAGTATGTCGATGTGATTATGATATCTAATTGCTATCAGAGAGTAATGCTAATAGAAACATGTCATTGTGTTATTTGGCTACTATCATAGAGTAATGCTGATGGAAAAGCATTAATAAATTCCGCAGTTCAATATGGTTAAGCAGAAATGTCGTAATCATTTCCATCAGTATGTCGATGTGATTGTGTTGTTTGGCTTAGAGTAATGCTGATGGAAACAACATCACATTCCATCGAATCGAAGTATTTCCATCAGGCATCACTCGTGAATTACTACCATCAATAATTTTCTAATATTCATTTCAATAGAGGAACAGAGTGATAGTATTCTTGGTATTATTTCAGTACTGATGTTAATTTACTATTAGCACTAAATAATGCCAAGGATATTGTTTGCCATTTTCACCATCGAAATACAACAATATTGTACCTTATATTACTAATATGCCCATCAGTATGTCGACGTGATTATGATATCTAATTGTTATTACAGAGTAATGCTGATAGAAACATGTGATTGTGTTATTTGGCTACTATCACAGAGTAATGCTGATGGAAACATCATTACATTCCATCGAACCACAGTTTGAAATGGATAAGCAGAAAGGTGTTAAGCATTTTCATCAGTATTTCAGTGTTACTTGGCTACTATCACAGGGTAATGCTGATGGAGAAATAATTACACTCCATCGAACCACAATTTGAAATGATGAAGTAAAAAAGGTCTTAAGCTTTTCTATCAGTATTTCGATTTAATCGTGTTATTTGGCTACTATCACAGAGTAATGCTGATGGAAAAGCATCAATATATCCCATCGGACCGCAATTTAATATAGCAAAGAAGAAATGTCGTAAGCATTTCCATCAGTATTTCGATGTGATCGTGTTGTTTGGCTACTATCACAGAGTTATCCTGATGGAAACATCATCAAATTCCATCTATCCGAGGTTTAAAATGATGAAGCAAGAAGATCTATGGCATTTCCATCAGTATTTCGATGTGATTGTGTTACTTGGCTAGTATCACAGATTAATGCTGATGGAGAAATCATTACATTCCATCGAACCATAGTTTGAAATGATGAAGTACAAAAGGTCTTAAGCATTTCCATCAGTATTTCGATGTGATTGTGTTATTTGGCTACTATCACAGAGTAATGCTGATGGAAAAGCATCAATACATTCCATCTGACCGCAATTTAATATAGTGAATCAGAAATTTCGTAAGCATTTCCATCAGTATTTCGATGTGATTGTGTTGGTTGGCTACTATCACAGAGTTATGCTGATGGAAACATCATTACATTCCATCTATCCGAGGTTTATAATGATGAAGCAAGAAGGTCTATGGCATTTCCATCAGTATTTCGATGTGACTGTTTCCTGGCTACTATCACAGAGTAATGCTGATAGATACATCATTAAATTGCATCGAATCGAAGTATTTCCATCAGATATCACTCGTGAATTACTACCATCAATAATTTTCTAATATTCATTTCAATAGAGGAACAGAGTGATAGTACTCTTGGTATTATTTCAGTACTGATGTTAATTTACTATTAGCACTAAATAATGCCAAGAATACCATTTTCACTATCGAAATACAATAATATTGTATCCTATATTATTAATATGCCCATCAGTATGTCGATGTGATTGTGATATCTAATTGCTATCAGAGAGTAATGCTAATAGAAACATGTCATTGTGTTATTTAATTCTGATAGACACATTCCATCGAACTACAGTTTTAAATAGTGAAGCAAAACCGTCTTTAGCATTTCCATCAGTATTTCGATGTGATTGTGTTATTTGGCTACTATCACAGAGTAATGCTGATGGAAAAGCATCAATAAATTCCGCAGTTTAATATGGTGAAGCAGAAATGTCGTAATCATTTCCATCAGTATTTCGATGTGATTGTGTTGTTTGGTCCAGAGTAATGCTGATGGAAACATCATCACATTCCATCGAATCGGAGTATTTCCATCAGGCATCACTCGTAAATTACTACCATCAATAATTTTCTAATATTCATTTCAATAGAGGAACAGAGTGATAGTATTCTTGGTATTATTTCATTACTGATGTTAATTTACTATTAGCACTAAATAATGCCAAGGATATTGTTTGCCATTTTCACCATCGAAATACAATAATATTGAGAAGTATAATACGAAGTCGTAGGTCTGTATTTGTAGCCCTTATCGATTTAAAAAAGCCTTCGATTTTGTGAACAGAGACATGATGTTATAATAACTGTTGCTGCAGAACATAGATGGTAAAATATATCAATCACTGAATAACAAACCACAGTCTGTGTTAGTATTAATAATATATGCACTGAATGGTTTGAATGCAAGTTAGGTGTTAGACAGGGAGATAATTTGTCACCGACGATTTATCATGAGATGAACGATCTCAATGTAGGCACTCGTGTTGGTAATACAAATATATCAATGTTGCTATATGCTGACTACGTTGTGTTTATTGCTGATAACGAACACAATCTTCAATTAATGCTCGACAAACTTAATGGATGGTGTATCAAGTGGCGAATGATGGTTAACTCGTCAAAATCGAAATGTTTACATTTCCGAACAGGCAACAGGATACGCAGTGAATTTCAATTTCAGATTGGTGATCACCCATTAGAGACCGTATCGAATTACAATTACCTAGGTGTGGTTTTCCAAGAAAACTTTATGAAGACAGCGGAAACGCTAGGAACAGCAGGGGGACGGGCTCTTGGAGCAGTAATATCTAAACTTCACCACATGAAACAATTTGGTTTTAAAACATTTATAAAACTATACGAATCATGTGTTATACCTATCCTAGACTATGCATGTGCTGTTTGGGGATACAAACAATACGTACCTCTAGACAATGTTTATAATAGGGCATTTCGATACGGATTAGGGGTGCATAGGTTTACACCAATCCAATCAATGTATGGAGATAACGACTATGAACTGTCCTACCAACATAAATTGGTGCAATGACATAAAAAACTGTTTGTAAAATTTAATAAGTTAATTAGCAATATTACTTGTACAATTTCCTCGTGTCAAAGTGCCAAATTCTTGCAGCAAGCTTTCTTAAAAAGTCGTAGACAGTTGTATAACTTGTTTATGGATTTAAAGCATTGTATGATGGTGTACATATGTTTGTATTTATATAGACTATAATATATATATGTTATTTATCATTAATTGATTGTTGAGAATGCTACAAATTTAAAGTGACCCATAGAGCCGGGTGTTTGTAAAACTTGATATGCACGTAATATATGTATACTAATTATAACACATCTCACTGTAATAAACAATTACTTACTTACTTATATTATTATTTCCATCGGTATATTTTTGTCATTGTGTTATTTGGCTACTACCACAGAGTAATACTGATAGAAACATCATTACATTCCATCGAATCAAGGTTTAAAATGGTGAAGTAGTATCACAGTGTTATGCCGATGGAAATATCATTTAATTCCACCGAACTGAAGTTTTTCCATCAGATACCACTTTAATATTAAAGCTCCTTGATTCCAACAATCTGAATATTCAATGGTAATAATCGGTTCATGCAGTATTTTGATGTAATTATGTTAATTATTAGCAATAAATAATGTTAAGGATATTGTTTACATTTTCACCATGGAAATACATTAATATTGTATCATATATTTTTAATATTTCCATCAGTATTTTTATGTGATTTTATGAACTAGCAAATTACTCTCATAAAAGTTTCTCTAATATGAATTTCAATGGTGATTCATGTACAATGTAATAGTATATATTATTTCTTAATAACATTCTGAAAATTTATTTCATCTTCTACAAACACATGTAATAATATCTATAAAATGATTATTAAAGGAACTTACATGATAGAAAATATCAATACACAGGCATACTTCAAAACTTCCAATCCATGATTTTGATCCACAGAACGAAGCTGGCTTGTCTTCTATCTCAACTAATGCCGTTTGTATCTCCTGTAGGTTTGGTACATCTCTTTGATAACTAGTCTTAGCTTTTATCCACGAACATAAAGTCTGTAGTGTCCTATAACCACAACCCCAGCCCTGAAAGTGCGATTAAGCAGTTCGTACCTTAGCCTACTTTGGGAGATTCTGAATTGGAAAATGTTTTATGTATGCTATGAAATCAAAGCACTTACTTGATCCGATGTTCCATCACATGCATAATGATAGTACTCGTATTGGCCATTGACTAAAATAGAACTTGTAGGGCCTTCCAATCCATCGTGTACATTACAACATAGATCCATCTACCTGTAAAATAAAGAAATGTCACTGTTATAGGTGCCATGGCCTGTGCTATCAGAACAGATAAACATGTAATAGGATACACATCAGAACATTATGCATCTATCCAGCAAATTGAATGAATTAATGAATTAGTTGGAATCCCGTTGCGTTTTTTTTTTCATTTTCAAGATTTTAATTCACAGAATGTCAAAACGGGTAGAAATGTTTCGGACTATATATCCCATCATCTTTTCTTTTCAGCGACAGGAAAACTATTTTTGTCAAAACAAAGTTCCTTTTTAAGAATAGTGACAAAACTGACTAACATCTCTAACCTTCCAATGAATAAGGGTGATCCTTCATTACACTAACTTTAAATTCAGGATTGTCAATGTTAAATTGCCATAAGTAGCCTACACGATCAAAACTACTGCAAATAAGAATAGTCTCCCTTGACCAACATGGCAGCCCCCATGATGCGGAAAGAGAGGTGGGACATCGAAAGGAATTCTTCGCATGAATTAAACGTTTATTTATTCCGATTTATTCAATTATCTTAAATAAATCAGATTAATTTTCAGCATCAACTATCAGCATCAGTTGATGTTATAAACGTGACTTACACTGACTGACAAGTTATATTCTAGTAAAATTGGTAGCCGGTTCGTTTTTTTTGACATAGCTTGTCCGTAGTTTTCTGATAATCATCGGTTATTCGATTTTATTTTAAATGATATGACTGAATCGTTGAGCATATACATATATTTATATATCTTCATGGGTTATATCCATGTTATATTAATTGAAATAAGATATTTTTCGAAACAAATTTGATATTATAATGTAGACTTACTCTTGATTCGATGGTTTTCATGAGATTGTGAATTGGAAGATCATCTTCAGATCACTACTAGTCTTAGATTATCTTGAAGTACATTATTCCCTAGAAATTTGTTTTTAAAGAGCACAATTTTTAATAGTAAAAATGGACATTTTCTTTTGTAATTACTGTGAGGAAAGTATCAGCATGTTCTTACTCAATGTAATTTCATAAAAATTTAGTAATTATTGATTATTACAGAACAGGATATGAAGAGGGCTTTATTCAAGGCTGTGAGTCAGGAACCATTGAAGGATGTAGTCTAGGAGTAGAGAAGGGAAGGCAGATTGCATCAGAGGTAATATATTGAATGTTGAAATATTTTAATGAATGAAAGTACAACTAATCCAGCTTACTGTAAGCTATAGGCTACATAATATATTACTTCAATGAGTCTTACTCTTACATGACTAGAATAGAGACTTAAACTTTAAAAATCATGCAATATGAATCATGAAATAAAAAACCCAATTTAAATGTCCAAATTTATTCTGATCAGTGCAATGATTATAATTACAGATCGGTTTCTATAGAGGCTTTTCAAGGCAGCTAAAATCATTGATAGAAAATGACGAAAATCTTGGAAAGCAAAGGTAACTGTAATTTGTCCCCCACTGCAATTTTTTATTTCAACTGGCGTTCATGTTACAGTGGACAGGAAAGGCTTTCTATAATCTGTTTGACAAAAGAATAGTTGAGCAAAGATAGTTTAGATAACTGTCTGTATTTCTAGGCATTTTAAAGTCTTGTATAGAATCTAATGCAATCCTATTTCTGCTTATTATACCAAATGATTTTGGTAATTTATAGGACAATGAAAACTATTGAATCACTGAGTGCTATTATTGATAAATTCCCATTAGAAGATGTATTAAGTCAAACTCTTTTTGAGGATTTGGAAACCATTCGTGCAAAATTCAAACAAGTGAGTATAAATTCTTGATAAAAATGGAAAGGTATTCAATCTTTTTTATTATTATGAGACTTCCACATAAATTCTAAAATTAATGTGAACTAGACAACCCAATTTCATGATTCATACTATACTTTTGTGTTTCTTCAGTGTAGTTACATATATAATGTCCAAAATGAAATGTTTCTTATTTTTCAGCTAACAAGTCAACTTGGTATATCATTATGCTATGGTGATATAGATAAAGTTAAAGGTGTTTCGTTTTGAAGTTTATATGGTAAGAAAATTTTTATTGAACTCCTTTGCATTAATTGCAAATTTTGTTTTTTCTTTAAAAATTTGCCTTGAAAATTCTTGGTCGTTCTTGATATTTTTTTTATATTTTTCTTCTAGAGTGAATTAATATGGTGCCATACAGTAAATGAAAAGTTAGTGGAAGCGTTTAAATATCAATGTACATATATCAAAAATCCCTCATAATGGGAAATGTAAAGAGTAAAGACACTAGACACTATTATTTAATATCTCAATTCATCTATGATAACAGTGAATATGGTATTTGATCTGAAAATTGCAAATCCTTGCGAAGGAGGGGGAAGGAGGGGGACTAGATTTATTTGGATGCCGCAGTAAAGATCATGCTGTACTCTCATGTTAACCAATGACTCTGTTTAATATCTCTGTAGATTGAATGTATTGTTAGTATGTTTTGTAAAGCTGTTATTTGATACTTTATAAACATGTTAAAAAACTAGTGAGCCGTTGAAATGTTGTCTTTATTTCAAACAGAATACCTTTGGTAAATGTTTTTATTTAAGAAGAACAATTTAGGACAGTTATCATGGAATCTGAACGTTATTTAACGGTACCGTCAACTACACCGACGGAAAAAATGTTTCGTTTTAGTGATCACATTCAGACTGATAGGAAATATTTCATGGAAAAATCTCTGTTAAACGACAAAAAGAATCGTGTATTGAGTGTATATTCAACGAGCAGACTACCATCTAATATTAAACTTCCACTTCACAAGCCAGATCTCGAGTTAAAAGGCAGATTAAACGAATCTCTTAATACTTATGTGGATACAAGGAAAAGAATAAATCATTTCCAAAGTTTGGATAACTTAAATCGAGCTTTGTCGTTTCAATATACCAAAGTCGAACAAAACAATAATGAAAACCATGACGAAAGAAGAACGAAACCGGTTCCACTTTTACTGATGGGAAAATCAGCTTTCAGTGATAGTATTATGTCATTACCAGTTATAGTTAAACCATTATCACGATCAGCTACCAAACAATCTCATTTCCCATTAAAACTTCATAAATCTTTAGATGGTAATCCAAATATGTTTGAAAAAATGCCTAAACGATTTTCATTTAGGCCTCTGAAGATCTGGAGAAAACGCTCTGACATTGTGTCTCTAAAATCTTCCTCTTATAACCAAAAAGGTTAAATTCTGAAAAATACTGTCTTTTGTGAACGTTTTATTTGGCTCATTTTTATTATTCGGTCACAGAAAATGACCAATTCAGGTGGCAGAGTGGAGATACGGCTTCATTGTTGTACCTATTTTAGAAAGGTTTGGATATGCGATCATATTCATTAATTTAAAAAAAAACGACCCTCTTCTATTGACTTTGTTTATAACCCCGCTGTTACCTACTGTAACTGGTTACAACCAAAACATAGTTGGTTGGCTATTTTTTTTTATATGAAATTTAATTCAAGATCATTGAAATATGATATATGATACACTCTTTTGTTATAATTTATCAATGTATATATCTTAAAAATATAATTGCACTACGGTGGGCTTCATAATACAATGTACGGTTATTTACGTCATTGACGGATCATATTCGATCAAGTTTTATTTTAAAATGTGAAGAACAAATCATTAGGCTTTTATTATTTTGACTTGTGAATTTGTCCAGCCAATCATGGATTGTGAGAAAATGGATTCCTCGAATACTTTGTCAGAAATAGGAAGATCCGTGACGGATTTGAAGGAGAAAAGGGAACCAATGCCTTTAGGGAAAGTGTCCACAAGTTCCACAGGAAATATATCTATTAAGCAATACTTGTGTGTCAGAGATAGCTTACCGAAATCTAGCCTCACTAAAACTATTCTTTATGATAATGTTATAGAGGATCGCTATCTAGAACTAAATTTAAGCAAGTTATCTTTACGTCGTAACAGGACTAGCTTGTATCAAGATATAAATAAAAGAGCCTTTAAAGCGGATCAGAAGAGGAAGCACGAGGACTGGAGAAATCGTCATGAGGTAGCCATGTCTTCCATTAGTTTACCAATTATTCAGCAGACAAAATGTCTTGATTTTCCATGTTTTCAACATTCGAGAACAATTTTCGGCCTACCTGTTGCTTCCAGGTCGCATAACCAACAAATTTCACCACTGTTAAAAGTTCGGCGACAGGAAACGGCAGTGAGATTTAAAACCGACGAACAAGATGCTTCAAAACCGGAAGATACCAGACATTGCAAGAAAAGAGATTTAAACGGACCAAAAGTATGTTTAAAGGATCCGAGATTCAAAGGACTTCATTCTAATTTACAGAAAGTCATATTAAAGAAATGGGATCCTATGGAGAATATGATGCCTAAAAGTAGATTTGCAAAATTTGCTGAGAGGCTAAAGTCAAAGAAAAACTCTCGCAAAGTTGTTGTGGCAACAAGAAACTCAGCATTAAGTAAGCGCTCTAATTCTGCAAGAACAGAAATAATGATTTAACCATATCTATGTAAAACTTCAATATTCTTAATATACGCATTTATATTTATTCTTAAAACTTTTTCCTTAAAAACAGAGTCGTTCACAAGTGCTTCTGTTTCCGGACATTCACAGGGCATTGTGGCATTTTGATTTGGGGGGGATATCAAAGGTATTTTTTTTCTATGTATAAGAAAAAGAAATATGAAATGGGTAGAGGGGTGGTTAAATGTCTTATATAGAAAACAAGCACAGATCATGTAACGCTATAAGCCAATTAGTACAATGGACACAAGAAAGATAATTCTATTTTCTTGATATATAAGTACGTTGCTGAAAATCTTTAGACCTTAGCTTAAACACTACACACAGACTGATAAGCTGTTTAGTTCTGTACCCTTAATGCTACAGTTGAAAAAAGATGGATTTTATTACACTGGTGGGCTACCCTTCGGAAGAATCGTCTGTTTACTCTCTGTTTGGATGTGCTGTCAAAGATCTTGCAAAACTGGGACGTGGAGCGTACGAATCTTGGGTTGAAAGGTCGTCTGGCATTTTTGTGTGAAATGGCAGGATACAAAATCTGCAATTATTATGTCCACATACACTGAAGTAGCCTAGAACCTCTTGATTTCGCACGTCGGTGGGATGAAAACCAAGAAAGAGTTCGTAAATGTGAACAGACCCCATGTCGTCAAAGACTACAATTGTCATAAGGGAGGGGGGGGGGGGGTCATGTCATGGTAAATCTATGCCCGTACCATTGTGCCACTATTGGAACATTTTGAAAAACTAGGTCAAGGTCATTAGAATCTTTCCAATTTTTCTTTGGTGTTTAGTCACATCTATAATGACTGATTTTCAGAATTTTCCTATATCTGGGAGGGTTCTTGGGCCTTAGAGGGTTAAAGACAAAAGCGCATCGGAATTTTTCAGGTTTTTAGTGTCGAACTATTCGGATTATTATGATGGTATCAGCGGAATTAAATTTAGTCGGTAGTAAAAAGTCAAAGGGAAGATAACCCGATTATTCCTCACCAGATGGCACCCAATTGTTTTGGAAAGTTTTATGCTGATGATATTTTTTCAATGAAATTCTACAATTATTTGTTTCTTTCACGTTGTCGTCAGTAATCAGCAGGATCATGTCCTAAATAGACTTGTTTAACATGAATGTAAAGGGTCATGTAACGTTAAAGAACTTTTTTATATTTAATTCAAATTATGGCCCACGAGAAGGGGAGGTGAGATATGATTGTCTTTTAATCTTGATCAAAATAAGATTAGATAGTTAGGCCTGCTATTTAAGACATTAAAGTGTTGTAGTGCATATACAGATTCAAATCAAAATTTTTTTTATGTGTTAAGCAGGCCTGACACTACACAATTTTTCCTATGATTTGTGTAGGGCAACACATTGACGTCATTGTAGAGCAATCATGTGGAATCTTATTGCAGGCCATCGTGTTAACTGTTATTCATCTCCTCACACTACACCACAACTTAAGAAATGTCGCAAGCCAATTTGCTTCATCATTGCTGGATGAAGCCTTGGCGCTTGCTTGCAGGGGGTTTTTGATTATCCATGCACATAGGCCTCAGAAAAGACGAAACCAAGAAACGGATTCTGATACTCCCCCTGGCTTACAAGGAGACAGGAGTGTTTGGCCATTCAATACTCAAACTGGAGTATGAAAACATCCCTGGACAGGTCTCATTCCAACATGTGCACCTTTCCATATTCCAATCAACAATGTTTGATCTATAAATAAGTCGAGAAAAACACATTGTTTGGATACATAGTGGTATAATTATCATTTCTTATTATTTATCTTTGATAGTATTTCATTTTAACTAATGCCATTTCTTTCAAAGAACAATGATTTCGAGTAATTTATTGCTAAAATTCATTGAATGAATATGGCCCTTATTGTGTTCTATAGAATTTTTCTACTGACATGGACTCGGGTAGATTATCATATGACTTTGTTTGTTCACTGGAATATATTCTAGCAGACGACATGTGGAATTCCAATTAAATATGGTGACATTTGGTAATAACTGAAATCCGCCATTTTGTATAGGTAGAAATAGATCATAGATTTAACATTGCTTTGAAACAATAGGTTAACTTTCAAGAGATAACTTATGTTTATCAAAACATGCAATTGCGTAGGTCACGTGAGGTTGTACTTGTAAATTATTTGTCATTTCCAAATGAGATGCACGAAAATTAGTTTTGTACTAAATTACAGTTAACAGAAAATGTTATGAATTTATATTGAAATGATTAAGTTAATAGAATGCTAGGTGCCTCTTATTTACCGATTTGAATTTGCAGAGGAAGCAAATTAAAATAATAATAATTCACAGTATGGGTATTTTGTTACATTTTTGACAGTTTTTTTTAACAGGAAGAGAAGAAAACTTTGTATTTCTTTCCAAGTACAACAGATATTGATTCACAGATTAAAGCTATTGGACTTTGTGAGGCTGTAGTCAAATTTACAGAGTAAGTTAACTAGATCTTTTTTTTTTTAATGAAAATTGTCTGTACACATCAGAGATCCTTTGAAACTAAAAAGGTAAATTTAAATCAGAAAAGAGTAAACTATTCTGTCTTGTAAAATTGAAAGGTTTTGACATTTACACATAAAAAGGTGATATCATTGTAAGTTAACATATGATATGATGTTTTAAATGATAGATTGATTGGTTTCATTCCAGGACATTTTCTGATAAACCATGTGAAGCATTGCACACACAAAAAACCAAACAGTTGTTTTTAGAAGCTGAACCAGATTTTTGGATCATCATGGTATGTTTCTTAGCAGGTTCTAACAAACTGAAGGCAAAAAAAATTTTACTGTTGAAATATCAGCTGCAAGAAATTGATAGTAGTATTGACTGAAGTACCTATGATGTTCATATTCAGGTTGATCAATTTCTGAGACAAAATTTGAAACTGCAACATTTTTTCCTATTTTGAAAATAAATTGAGGTGCTTGTAGATATCCACTTAGAATGGATTAATAATGTAAAGTCATATCAGACATCTCAGATCTTCAATTTTGTAGACTGTTGCTGTACCCTTCAGTAAAAAAGAAAAAGATGATCAATCTTATTATGAATACAGAGAAGAAGATGTTCAAAATTCAGTTTATAGAGCAGTATTATTACAAACATATAAAATGTTTAAGGTATTTTTGTAATCTCTTATTAGTATAAGGTTTTAAAAGAAATACTCTCTTATAGAAGCACTGGCCTAGGTCACAAGTAGAGACTATCGATTTCATCTGATAAGAAGTTACCTACTTCTGGAGAGATTTACAAGATAAACAAATAATTCAGAAATGCAAAGTGAAGTTTCAGGGAGTTAATGAAAAGGGGTGGACAAGAACATTACTTAGATTTTTATTCCTTTTGTAAGCAGTCAAAAATGCTTAGTATAGATGTTACCAGGGGATTCGTCTTGGAGTTCTTTCTTGTGTTTAACAATCACAGAAGCATTTTAAACTGTCATGGATTGTCATGTTGGATATTTAGGCCGTTAAGTACAACTGTTTGTTATGGGTCTATCCAGAATCTGTCCCTCTGCAATCGCATTGATGTTATTGTTGTTGATGAAATTTGATGTGTGGGCCAATTTTCAGTCTGCATGAATCAATTAATCATTCAGCAAATGCTGAAAAATTTTATTCCAATACTGCTTTATTACCTTTAAAAATATCCATTGATAGAATACGAGCCAGAGCTGTCTTGATTTAGTTTCTTGTTATGACCTTATATAATTTGTATTGGGGATGCTTCTAATATATTTCAGTTATTTAATGGAACATTTGTAAATATATTGGAAAGATCAGGTGGAGATATTAGTAGTTTAAAACATAGATTAGAACACTTTTATTCTAGAGTAGGTATTGATAAAGACTTAGATTTGTTATATTGTATTGGCTTCTATGTTTTTTTTATTGTTTTTTGGATTTTCTGGATATTTTTTTATGAGAACAAAGTTATTCTAATAAAAATAAAATTGAAAAGTTGTCTGTTTTCACAGTACATTGCTGGAAATTGACAATGAATGATGCAAATTACTACAGAAGCTTAAAATAACTGCCAAAAAATTGTTTTCAATCAATTTATACTTCCCTTGGTATTTATTTTGTGTTTTCAGTATTTATTAACATTGAAGTTACACCAGAGTGATTTATTAGATGTATTTAATGGTATATCATTTTTACCATTAGATAAAAATACTTATTTACAAATACAGTGTTTAATAAATAGATTAGAGGCTTTATTTCCTACTATCAAATATACAGCATTCCTTTATAATGATCAGTTAGTCTGGTAAGTCTAATTTACTTTGATTATTTAGAATCAGTTATACATTAACAGTTACAAAGTATAAACTTACTTGCTTATTGGGAATCACCATATGTATGAACAAAAAAAAACCTTGAATAAATTGCTATTTCTAGTTATTGAGCAACTTAAACAGAAATATGAAGTTATTTTTGAAAAAAATGTCCTACCAAAGCATTTGTTTCGCAGCATTAAATTATCTTGGTTTGAAGATTAAAATCAAGTGTTTGGACAATTTAAAAAGTCTTTATTTTTAATCTAATTTATGATAATAGTAAATGATATTACAGGAGTGGTCTAGAACAAGATGATATGAGAACAATGTATAAATATTTAACAACTAGTTTATTTCCATCACATTTAGACCAGGAATTACATGGTAGTTCTACTAGATCTTCAATGACAGCTCCCGGTGGAACCCACTTCGGAAAGTAATAAATTTTGGAAATTTTTAATACTTTAATAAAAAATGTATCTACCTTGTGGATACAATTAGATTTCTTTTTGTACTTCTTTGAATTTCTTTACAATATTTGACAGTTTGGAGAAAATATTTGAATTGGTTTGGTTTTTAAGAATATTCCCCATTTCAATCTTTGCCAAATCTTTAATAAAACATCAAACCTTGACCTTGTTTTCTTGATAGAAAGGTTTAGGGCTATGAAACAGTATCCCAATATGTAATATTAGCAGTTTTAATCATTGTTCAAGTACTTTCTTTTAATTATGACAGATTTGTAACTGGCCCAAGTAATCTAGATGACAGTAGTTCACTGGGAAAGGTACCTAGAGTATTTATACAGTCAGACACAGAAAATGAAGAATGTTATTTATTAGTTTATAAAGCTTTGAGTGCTTCAATATGTATGCTTATCAGTGGTGAGTATTAATCTTTACAACTTTAAACAACTACTGTTGTCTATAATGAGACTGTCAAGCTTCACACAAACATCATTGCTTTGTCTAGCTTCTTTTCTTCAATATTGAATCTATGTTGCTTAGTTGTATAGTGTATGCATATAATATATTTGAACCATTACTATTTCTCAGCTAAGAATATAGAGTGTAATGTTTTCTAGAAGTTTGAGCTTTGTTAGCCATCAGATTGAAATACACCCTGAGCATTCATTTCACAGTTTGCAGGCCACATCTAGTTTTAAACTGTTAGTATATAGAATAGACTATATTTAACTGAAATATAATTTGTAATAGGAATATTTTTCTAGATAGAACAGACTGATATAAATCAATAATATATTTTTCAGTTAATAGCACAATGAATTTCGACTTCTTTAGAACAGTTGATGGTTTTTTAGGTGCTCAAATGAGTAAAGTAGCATCTGATATAAGTGAACAATATCCAAGGAAATCTGTTGCAAGGTATTGCTATACTGTTTAAAACTCTCTAATATGAATCACTGATAAAATCTGAGTTTATTTCATCAGATTATTTTTGATAAGGTGCTTTTCGGACCAAAATTAACTCAAATAATATTGTTATAATTTATACAATGTGATTTTTGAAAATTTGAGCCTTGAATGTAGCTTTCCTTTATTGAAGCTTGGATTGGTTTAATACTGTCAATATTGAAGGTGAGTATATATTAGTATGAATACGACAAACTTCCTGCTAGATATAACATATTTTTTTTTTCCCTTTCAGCAATACAGATCCTCAGTTTAAATATGTATATTTTAATCATATGAATTTAGCTCAGAAAACAACAGTTCATATTGATATTAGAAAACTATCAGGTGTTAACATTCCACAAGAAACTTTACGATTATTAGGTGATATTAATTCAGATTTAACCAGGTTAGTTGTCTCTCAATCCTATTTTTTTATTTTTCAATACCCAACTGCTATGATTGAAATACTCATATTCATACCAAACTTCTGGATACTTGTTCCAGACACTTATGATCTAGGTTTATGATGCCATGGAAATGATGAGTGACAAGTTTTTTGCTTTCTAGAAAATTGGAAAGAGAGTTTTTGATATTTTGGGTTAAAAAGGTTATACTTATTTTATGTTTGTTATATTGGGTTGATTTTAGGGATAATGAAGACGGTGAAACAATAGTCAAAACAGCCTCAGATTTCTGGGTAGTAGGTAAGAAGTCAGATCAAAGAGAATTCTATGTTGTTATCAATCAAAAGAATGCCAACTTAATTGAAATTAATGGTAAGTAATCAAAACATAGCCAGTTTAGGAATTAAAAAAATTTATTTAATATTTATTTTATAATGTTAAATTAGACTGATATTCCACAATTTGACAATTTGATCAAAAAAAGGGGTCCTAGATGAACGCTTTGATTGGTTAAAAATAACATCATTAAAACAGGATTACAGTGGAGATAAAAAAATATCAGAAAATCAGGAATCAAATTGTAATCTTGATTTAATTAGATTGACTGCCAGTAGAGAATCTGTATGCACACAATAAAAGACAGAAAGAAAACAATACCATAAAGAGTAAATTGTTACCAAATGCAAAGTTTTCATCAGTTTCTAAATTACATCATTCAAGAATGATTGAACAGACACACAATTAAAGGCATAAAACATCCATTTTAATATTATAGTATGCACTATCCTGAAACGTACTAGTAAGTTATGATAGAGTAAAATATCTTGTTATATTAATATTATTTTATTTTACAGAGGAAGTAAAGAAATTATGTTCAACTCATCTAAACAGTATATTTTTCTTGGACTGAAAGAAGACAATTCCTTAGACTTTTTGTTATTTTGTTATTTATCTTGAATTGTATGTATATCACTCTAAGTGGATAATGTGCAATAAAGACTTTTTTATATCCTAGAAAACAAAATTCCAATCTTTTTCTTCTCTCCAATTAATAGTCCTACTGTTTGATGTAAAATATAACTTACTAATTCTAAAGGTATGTATGACTTGCAATGCATTAATTGGTTTTTTAATCAGCTCATAGACCCCATTTTTTGCTTTCCATAATTAGAATCTCATGTCTGGCTCTCAATCAATCGAACAAAAATTTACCATGGATGTCAGACTTTTATATAGTTATCACTTACTGACAGTTATGATGGGGGATTTCATGAATTATCCAGATAATAATTTTGATTCTGAATAGTAATACGTGGAGCTTTGGAATATTTTTATTATGATGTGTATATTAAGCTGTAACAGGATTCAGACCACATCTATGGCCTAGATGCTAGTTCGGAACAAGGAACAAGTAAAGGATTTGTCTAGCATGGGCAGAATAGTCATAGGGTATATTATCATTCAGTTTTATGAACTGATATAATACTCAGTTTGGAGGGACATTAATCTTAGATGAGAAAAATCAATTCAACCAATGCTTGTAAATTTTTCTGATTAAAGCTTCATGAATTCTTATACAAAGACTTTGCTTCTGATAACATACTTCCATACATCAGATAGGTCTAAACACTCAGTTTTAACTAGATATTTCATAATATACGTATACCATATAAATATGTACATATAATAATCCGGCTAACAGTGGTTTCCCCCCTTTACAAGTTCCTCCCATAGTGGTTTCCCCCGTTTACAATTTCCACCCTAGTGGTTTCCCCCCAGTGGTTTCCTCCCCTATATGTAAGCTTAGGGTATGTAAATTTGATTTAATATCTATTTCATTTTAGATATATAGAAATATGTAGTTATATTTTCCCTAATTCAAATTATTTTTTTTTCTATATATTTGTCTTGTGTTCAATTTCAACTGGTTATTAACTTGTGTATTGGATTATTAAAATAATTTTCATTTTTATGTGTTTCATAAGCCTCTTCTTTCTTTATATATTTATATTTTAATGATTTGTAACATTAAATAAAATAACTTATATTACTATTATTTTTAGCAAATAGCATACAAGAAGGGTTTAATTAATGACAATCATTAAAAAATGACAATTACCCAATTAAAAAAGTTGATAACTGTAAATTAATTGTAATTAAGGTGTATGAAAGGAGGTACCTCCACATAGTCTTTCTTTTCTCACACTTTACATGAGAACTGGTTTTACCTCACTTTAATTTGTGACAGGTCTAGGTAAGAAGTACTTCATTCTGTGTCAGTGACTTCTGTTGTAGAATAACTTGTTATCTTTCAACCACCTAATCTCTAATTTGTGATGAATTAAACTTATTTAATGAAAAGATTCAATTTTGTTGCAAAGCCGTATTAGCTTATATTGAAAGTATATAAGATAAATTACTATTAATACACCTGTATCACATTTCCTATGACTTTCACCTCAAATCATGGCATGCCTTGGTCTTACAAGAATATTGCAATTATAACACAATTCAGCAACGTAGAACAAGTCAAATTTGAATAGAGTTAGATAAAATGTTATACCTATCCAAGAATAACAATGCAATTTATTCCATGGCTTCCTGATATTATGTTAATCCATCACAATAATTGATAAAGATTAACAGGTTCTTAATTAGTTTATTATATGTTAATTAGGGGAAGAAACCACTAGGGAGGAACTTGTAAAGGGAGGAAACCACTACATGCCAATAATCCCACTTTAAAATAATGACAACACCATCATATTGTTCAAAGTTGCATCAGATATAATGCAAGATAGACAAACAAACAAGATGTTTAATTTTTTAAAACGAGACAACTAATTTATTACAGCGATCCCTGTAACGCAATGCCTACGTATACAAAGTGTCACAATGTACTATATTGAAATATGACGTCATATCGACATCCCCCAATTACTAAAAATAGAATCAAAATATTGACAGGGAAGTGATTCATTTCATTCAAGTCAAGCTAAACAACATGGCGGAGAAACAGCGACAGGTTTTAATGCAGATTGTTCAGAAACCTGGAAACAATACTTGTGCTGATTGTGGGGATAAAGGTTTGTACTTACGTCAGATTTTAGTTATATAGGAGACTCTTATTAAAACAAATTACATGATAGGTTATTAACTAAGTGGTAGATCACTTTCTTTATTAATATTTATTCAGTCGTTGAGTCATTGTGATGATTGATAAATTTTAATAACGACGATAGAATCAATGAGTTATATTTTCCTTTCCATTGACAATAATTACAAAAAAGCTTGTGACTGTTCAGATATTGCGATACATGTATTTCCTTACACTGTAAGAGCAATATTCATTCAGACTGAAGTACAGTACAGCCAGATGACCTACTGAAACCTAATCTCTAAATGATATTACTTATACTAGGCCCAACAGAAGAGGGGACAGGCTGCCTATTCTTTAAATAGTTCATAAGATATTTGGTATAAATAAATCGAAATAATAGTTAATTGATAAGTGATAACTAATGCTATTGTCATGAAAATGCAGTGAAGGTCTTGTGAAAAAGACTTTATTATGATTTTGTTTGAACATAAAACATTAACATCAAGAGCATTTCAATTGTTGAAAAATATTATTATAATTTGGGTAATGTCTGAATTTGATTCAATTTTTTACACATAATCCATTCAATTGAAAATAGCCTAGTTTAGCCTATATATTGATTAAGTGATTAATGGTATATGAGGTTTATGTATGAATCATCAGACCTGTTTTTATCAGTAGACTACAGTATTACTGTCAGCTTATATACCCAATGCTTCTGAATTATGATGATTTAAAAAAAAGCTGAGCTAATCAGTAAAGTGTTCAGAGCTCACCATCAATATTTGAGGCTTTAAATCCATGTGTATCCAGAAGTTTCTGTGTTTGAATGTTAAAATGATGACTAGTCAATTTAAGATAAACTATGATATATAGAAAATATATCAAAATAGTGAGTAAAATTCCTAGTTAGAAGTATTTTTAAAGGAATTACGTGATTTACATATATTTCTAGTACTTCTGAAGACTATTTACATATTTTCAAGACTAAAATCAACCCCCCAAAATGGCGTACCTGTCACTTTAAACAGTATAGTGATTGAATATCTTGCAAAAAATTGCTTTCTAGCGAACACCAACATCAACAGGTTGATCGTAGTTCAGGTCTAATTCTAAAAGATTTTTCAGCCCAAATTAGGTGAAGCTAATCACCTCACTGATTCCACAAATTCTGAAATTGAGAAAATTGGCTGTATTTAACTAACAAAAAATATCCCCTCTTTATATAATTACTAATACTGAATTAGTGCAGAACATTGAAATATATAAATGTTGTCTATTATTTTAGATCCAGAATGGGCCTCTTGTAATATTGGTGTGTTTCTGTGTCAAGAATGTGCTGGTATACACAGATCACTAGGTACAGATAGTAGAGTTAAATCAGCTAGATTAGATAATTGGGATGCTGAACAAGTAGAGGTTAGTTAATACGATTATACTAGATTTTAATATGAATTTCATGACCTGCTATGGTAAGATTTTATACACCCATGCATTGTTGAATTGCTGCAGGCAAATAATTCATTGGAAACTGTTCAAATGTTAAAAGAATTGAAGACAAAGACAAATGAATTTCTATCAGTAATGATTCTGAATAGCTCTCTTCTGTCTAAAAGTGTGAGCTAAAATAATGAAATATTTCTATTAAAATTAATTAAAGAGTATAATCAAAAAATATATTTCTTACGCGAGACTCAATCTGGTTTCCTGTGTCAGTTATTAAAACTGGTGGGAGGGGCTGACATGGAAAAAGTGTTGAATGTTCAGCCATTGCTGAAAAAGATTAGGACATAAAGCTCCATTTCATTGAAGAGAAAGAATGATATTGTATAATTGTATTGTATATGATATATTTATAGTATATGGATGGTGTTGGCAATGAAAAAGCTAAACAGAAATATGAATATTGTGTTCCTGTATTTTATCGAAGACCAAAATCAAATGATTACAAGTATGTTGTCTTATTGTAACCAAAATTTATATTAATGATATTTCTTTAACTAATCCTTTTAATAATTGTATAAGTTTTAGCTAATCAAGTGCACTATGATTTTTGTTTTTCCCTTTTAATGCTTAATTCACACTGATGTCATCAGTATGAATACTTGCTCTATACAAGTTTGAGAGCAAGTTACGTTACTGTAACATTGAAGGTGCCTTTTTGATTTTATTTTTTCCAAAAATTATTTAAAAGGGTTTTTTGCTGACCTCAGTGTGGATTGACCCATTCATTATGACAATATAATCTATTTTTAAAGTCACTTTGATCAGTGTTCTCTAACAATTTGTGCTGATATTTTGTTAATTTACTAATTTTACCAACATAACTTTTGAATTGTAGCTTTTTAAAAAAGGAATGGATTCTAGGAAAATATCAGAGATTGGAATTTATGGAATCAGCCAATCAAAGTGCTTATAGTTGTCAACGGAAAGAAGGTGTATTAATGAAATTAGGTCGTGACAGACGAATTTTCCAGTTACGCAAATTTGTGATTGATAGATCTGAAAATAGATTATCATATTATATTATTGAGGATTCTGGGAAGGTAAAAAGCTCATCTTCTCTCCTGTCACCTGCTTCCCGTTCTTATTCTTTACATCATAAGGTAATCTTACTAATACTAACTCTTAGTTGTAATGATTCACTTATATATTGTCATATTATAGTTGACAGGAACCTGCTTTTCAATTTGTTTTAAAAGTAGTAAATCATTCTTAATGTATTCAACAAAACATCAAGTGTCGCATGACTCTGCCATGTCAGCTTTGCTATACCTTTAATGGTTTTTAATCTACATCTAGCTTACGATATTTATGTGGTTTGTCTTAAATGAAATTTTGTGAGAAGTTAAGTGAATCATTGCAACAATTGTATATATTCATTCAGTCTTGTCAAAATTAGACCAAACTTTCATTCCATGATTTTATTAGCTCTATTCTTTACTCAATCACTCCTCCCTTATTGCTTTGTATGAATAATCTTTGCCACAGCTTTAACCAATCAAATTATACTGGTCTTGTCTGAATAGCCAATGAAAAAGCGTGTACCAACAACATTGGGCCCAATGGTGAATTTCAGTAATTGATAAACTAGTCTAAGGCTCTTTGGAATACACCTGGTGCTTGCGTTTTATAATCCTAGGGCAAAAGAGTGAAGAAGTTTAAATGACCTGCGATATTATCAATCAGATGAAAGATATATAGAGGAGTTCTTAGACTCAACTTGAGTGATTAAGTAATAATAGGAGCTAATAGAATACAGAATAGATGTTTGGTCTAATTTTAATATTCATCTTGCATAAATTAATGAATGGTGCCGACATATTTGTATGTGTACTTTGAATATTATTACTTTATATTAAACTATGGATTATATACTTTATAGTTATGCATGTAGTTAGTGCAATGATTAATATAATATTTAGATATTAGTTCTTTTACGAAATAGTGAATTTAGAAAATAATTTACTAATATAATAATAGTTTTGATTCTATATATCATGGTCTAACAAATTTGCATATCATTTTTTGCATGGCTTCCCTCAAAGATTTATTCAAATTCACAATAATTGTGCATGCAGGCCTGTAATGTTATCATTGACTAAATATTCTTAATATAGTATAGTAGACAAACAAATAAATATACAATTCTCAAAATTTTTTCCTATTAAAATGTAAAGAAATTTTTCCAAAAGGTAAAAAGTTTGAAATGAAATAAAAACGGACCAAATATATCAAATAGGTAACAAAGTTTGAAATTTGTTAATAATTCAGGTGTGGTTGGAAAATTTTCCTAGTCCTATTTAGAGAAATCACATGAAATTGGGCTTGTTTTTTTGTTGATTAGAAATTAAAGGTGTCTTTTTGCTGGGTCAAAATACAACTACCCCCAATGGAATTATTTTTATTTTTTGTTGAATTTGAATTTCATGACGCTTCTAGAACTTCTTTTAATAATGCAATCACTGAAATTTCCTCTATATGATTAAAGACTACAGTACACGATAATATATTGAAATAGGAAGATCTACTCATTTACTAGGAAATGATTTAAGATGTCAAAGTGAAATTTCACTCTGAAAATAGTTCATCTAAAGTTTTTATTAGTAATGTGAATAAAGAACTTCCTTCCTTGTAAACTAAACATTCTGATATCAGCGTTTAAATTTTGTCACAAATCAAAGCTAATAAAACTTTCGTTTATTATGGTTGAGTGAGGTTTACTTTTTTCTCCTCATCATATTAAGTGAAATTTTTGTGGTAAAGAAGTATGTGGGGGAGTGAAACGATCAACTACAACTACAAAATTTTTACATTTTAAGATATAACTGTACTCTAAATGTCTAGTGATTTAGAAATTCTTAACCAAATAAATTTTCACTTGAAAACTTGCTCATTGAATGAAATTTGTTTTTACTTTAATCATTGATATTTTCTTTTCAAATTCAAATAAAACAGAGTTGACATAAATATAATCACTTATTTTATTAAAGCTGCATTCTATTGTTGCTCAATTGATAGTCAAAATTCACAGAAAATTTCCAAAATAGTTTTCAAAAAGTACCCTGGTTAAACCTTTTCCGTCAAAATGAGTTACGAAAAATAAAGCATTTTATACCTAGCTATAAGTATCCTAGATACACATTGAAAGTCTGAATCCTTTGATATCTTCCTGGCTATGTTTTTTGACATTATTTTAATGGAAAGTTGTAAACAAATTTGAACAAGCTTATTAATTAAAGTCAGTTTTTATGATAAAGATTATTATGAAGGTATTGAAATATGAAGGTAGCAATTATACTGTCTTTAAAGGCAAGAGGAAGTTATTTTTTATTATTAAATTCTGTGAAAAATTTGACCTGTTAGTATCATTTTTATCCTTCTAGATATCATTTTGAATTATTTGAATAGAGAAAATTTGCCATTAAGATTTGATGAATTTGTATTCCAACATAACAGAACTTATACTTAATTCAACTGTAAATTTTATCTGGCATCCTTTTAATCCCAAAAAAAAGAAGTTAAAACACTATTAGATTAATGCACAAAAGTAATATAGTAAAAAACCTTTGAATTAAACAATAAAATCCTTGTTCTCCAAAATGCATGCAAAATAACGGTAGGTAGCATGACTTTAACGGTAGAATCCGCCACATGGCCAATCACTAACACTATAAACCAGCAAAAATATAACACAAATTTATTTTTTGTTACCACCTTAACGCATTATTCACAGAAAATATAATAAATATCTTTAAAAAAAGCTCAAGAACTTGTATTTTATTTACAAGGTACTCCATTTACTACCATACTTCATATAATTTACTTTATATTTCTAGACCTCGTCTAAACCTAAAGCTGAAATTAACCTAGATGAAGTAAATGCTGTATTTGTACCAGAAAAAATAGGCAATCCATATGGTCTTCAGATAACCTATTATAAAAATGGCTCAACTAGATGCTTATATGTTTATTCAGATAATTCTAAGGTATATTATCATGTTATTTTTTAAATCACCTCAAACTGCAAGAAGTTACCTTTTCATTGGCTCAGTTGTAGACAAACTCATGGTGTATTTATTGATAAAGTTTAATTTAATGCAATGCTGATTGTAACGTAATTTAAATTCAGGAAATAGTTGACTGGTATAATGCTATCAGAGCTGCTAAGTTGGAGAGAAGACAAGTTGCCTTCCCAGACAGACCACTGGCAAAAGTAAGTAGAACTATAGAAATGATAGATAGGTAGGTGATAAAAATTAAGGTGTACTTGCTAAAGATTTGATGAAGAAGAGCACAAAATATTCTCTCTGTCCCTTCAAATTTTTCAATGTAATCATAATCATCAAGTAAGACTCCTTTGGAATTTATTGCATTGTTTTTTTTTTGTAGTTGACTGATGATTTAACAAGAGATTTTACGTTAGAAGGCTGGTTATGTAAAATGGGACCTAGACATGAACCATTTAAACGACGTTGGTTTACCCTGGATAAAAGAAAGTTGAGCTACTTTGAGGACCCTTTGGTAGGTTAGATTTCTAATCATAGACACAATGGTTGTTGACAGTTTAACCACCAATGTCTGTCTTACGTCTTTCCTTTTTAGCATAATTTATAGATGTAGAAATAAAGAAAAAAAGGTCATAAAAAAGTAATTTATATCAGCTAGTCAGGTTGTCAATTTTGTTACCATGAGATCATCATGTATATTTATATCTATATTTCAGAATGCCTTTGCTAAGGGTGAAGTGTTTATTGGCCATAAAGATAATGGTTATAGTGTGAGTTTTGGACCACCAGAAGATGAATCTAACTGTGGTGAAAATTGTTTCCAACTTCATACCCCTGATAGAGATTTTGTTATGAGAGCAGAAATTAAGGATGAAATGGATCAATGGGTGGAGAAGTTAAAACAGGTTGTTGAAATGCCATTGTCACCTCAAGATAGCAAATGTAAGTTGTTGACTGATTGTTCTTATTGACAGGAGTTTACCTAATGACTGGTTCACAACCTGGGGAGAGTACTAGACATCACCACAGAAGTTACCAGAAAATAAATTTAAATAATAATAAGAATCAGATGCATCACTGTTATCTACAGTAACTGTCCACTGATAAGCTTTCGTTAGAATTTTTCCGTTAATCTTCATTTAACAGAAGGTGGATATGGTGGTATCAGTGGACAAAATTTGAACATCATATTCTGATTTATGAAATAAAAAAAATGCACAAATTATATCTGGTATAGCTGGTCTTCATAAAGCAATTGGTAAATTTATTTAATTTCTTTTTTTTAAATACATTATGAATACGATTTTTTCAATTTTTTTTCAGTGGCATCCATATTAGTAGCCAAGAAGTCAAATTCTATACGATTATATAGAAGATAAGACAACATTGGTGTATATTTGTTAGTGCAATGATGGTATATTACAGAGCCTATACTGGTGCTTATTAGTATAATCCAGATAGAAAAACTTACTTTATTTTACGGGCATTTCATGGGTTATATTATACAGTACAACTTTGATTATATACAGACCCTTTAAAGTGGGAAGTATGTGAAAGAAAGAAGACAGGATTTCTTTTTACAAGTATCAGGAAGCTGGTTCGTACCCCGTTTAACAGCAACAAATATTATATAATAGCTATTGCTTTGGAAAAATATTGGTCATTTTAGTTCGCAAATATAGTGAGCAAATGATTGCAGCATATATCTGCAGTTTATTTCTTACTGACAGTCTGGACACATGAGGCCTCTACTTCATCTCTTAAAAATTATTAGATCCCCTGCTATATCATTGACAGGGGGGAAACCAGGCAGTATAATTCATATGATTATTTTAACGAGGCAAGGGCAAAATCTATCATATCGAGTTATGAAAGGTAGAGATTTGCTGTGCTACTGTCTATGGATTACTGGTGTGTGATCTAAGATTTAAGATAATCATCTTCGGCTATGAAGAGGTAGTTGAATCTCTCTCTTAGCAGAGATGCCAGGCCATCTACAGATATTGCTATTGACTGTGTCATTTTCTTTCCATTTTAGTCATTTGATACTCTTAGTGATGTAATTCATATTCTCATGTGAATGCTATTAGTACTATCTGTGGGTGAATGGTCTAAACTGCATGATATGAGTCAAATATTTACTATTTAAAACATCATCAAAACCTTAATTAAATCTGTCATATATTTGTTGGCCTATGTTAGGCTCATAAGATTTTGATAAAGTTTATGAGAAAAATAATTTATCCTTTCCTAAAACCAAAAGACTTAATATTCCAATGTAATATCTTGTTCTTTGTTTATGTTTTTCTTGTCTGGGATTTTTAAACCCTCTGTTCTATCTTCCTAGAGAACCATGTTTTTTCTATCAATCATTAAACTAGTTTCTGGTATAATTAAGGCTTGTTGCCAGGAATATACTTTTGAATCTGTGAATCAGTATGACTTTTTAAAGAAAATTACTGTTCAGAAATAATAATGTTTCTTGAAGATTGGAAGAATCATACAAGACAATCTTTTTACTGTCATTTAGCTTGTTATCTTTGACCATTTTTCATTTTGAATGAAAGAAAAGGTACACTGTAGGCCCCTAAAACCAGCAGTTAGACTCTATCAATGAAACCTCGAGTTTGTACATTATGAGGCCATATGAATAAATAACTTTTATTTTTGTTATTGACTAAACACATCTATATATAGGATAATGATTGTAAAACCTGTCCCTCAAATGTAAGACTATACCTCAAAATAAAGAACCCGGGTAAGACTTGAACCTCTAAAAAAAGAACTTGAATTTTAATCAACCTGCAACATCAAAGATCTTGACAGTCATTTCTTTGTGCAAGTTTACGTTTTCAATCATATAAAAGATAATAAAAATTTGAAGTTCATGCATTTATAATAATAAGTGATTATAACCAGGTCAACTCATTATAATACTCTATGCATTTTTATACGCCCACATGAAATGGGGGGAGTATATTGCCGTCACCCATGTCCGTCCGTCCGTCCACAATTGCTGGTAAACACTCTACAAGACACAATTCTTGACGGATTTTGACAAAACTTGGCATGAGTGTTCGTTATCAACTCTATTGAAAATCAGAAAAATCTGAAAAATAATTAGTATGAGTTATTGTCCTTGCTATTGTAAACGCGTTCAATTTTTAGCTCATAATTACTCTAGAAGGCACTATTCTTGACAGATTTTGATGAAACTTGGTGTGAATGGTTGTAATCACCCAAGGATGAACCCTATTGAATATCAGAAGAATTGAAAAATATTTAGTATGAGTTATTGCCCTAGTTCTTGAAAACGCTTTCAAATTTAGTTCTTAAACACTAAAAGGCATGATACTCAATATTATTCAGTATTATGCTAAAGTGTTCAAAAGAAGTGTATGACTGAAGGTTGAATATTTCCTACTGGTGATTGTTACTGCACTGCTAAATATTTTTATTCAAAATTAAACTGCCAGTGGGCGTATATTACCTTGACTGGCAAGCTATCTTATCATAATAAGTTTATTATCTTGTATATATTACTTTCTTTTATACATAATTTCAATTTGAATTCAACAAAATAACCGAGTATAGTGTATTCTGAGTAAAAGTTGTAAGGTTTAGTAGAAGATTAACACTTTATCAGAAACTTATTATCTGTAAGCTTATTATAAAATTAATGGTAATGGGTTACACTCAAAAGCTTTGTTCATAGAAAAAGAAGTTTTCTTAAGATATATTGAGCCTATGGCAATATTATTGTATATAGAAGTTGTTAGTGATAATAATGTTGAAGTTGTGCTGTTATAGAAATTCTATATAAATTGTTACAGTGCTTTATTTAAAGTAAATTGTGAATACTGTGCTGGTTTTTTTTTCACTAAGGCTTTTTGTCAGTTTTATAACCTATTTTTTTTTTATTCATTTCTAGAATTTCTTATGGTTTCATTTATTATATGCAAATTTTCATTCTCCTTCTATTTTTCAGATCATTTGTAAGTTGTTGTTAAAGATAATTGTGATTTTAAATTGTTAGAAATATTTTATGTAAATAATTGTAGCTACTTTTTTTATTTTACTGTGTATATATTGTATTTATTTTTTTTTAAATCTTGGATTAAAATTTCATTCAGCTCATGTTTATTTCAATTTATTTAGTGTAGAGTATAATAATATGGTGTGTAATGTAACAGTTGAGTATATAACTGTGATTTAGAATAGTATCAACCTCCTAAAACATCACTTCAGCCCAACGCAGATGAAGAACATTTTAAGCGAACTATCATAAAAATTTTGTTTCGATCATTTTTTTCACCGTCTGCGGATTACAGAAACACGAACAAAAATGTTCATGAAAATTGTTAGTGAAATCAAACATTTTTGAAATTTTAAAATTGTTGGCCTCCCGAAAAATTCTTTGTAAGCCTTCTGTGTAACAACAAACGAAATCAGCGATCGAAGCCAGACCACATGACACTCAAAATGGCGACGTCCAGTGAATCCACCAACACAAAATTTTGGACTGTGGAGAAGGAGCAGATTTTAATAGATATGTGGTCGCAATCTGCCTCAATATTGTGTTAAACCCATCTTTGTCACCCCAGAAATATCGCCGATACATTGCTGGGTTGTCAGACGACAGCTCCTGTACAAGGTTGCCGAACATGTAACAGTAGATACAAGGGGGTATCATTTTCTTATGTGTAAGGCTTAGTAGTGAGGACAATTAAGTGGTTGAAGGGAGGTAACTCTGTTTAGTAAAAGTTACAAGTGTCTGTGTTTCAAAAGGTGACTAATGCCTGTGTGCAAGGGCAAGTCACTCTTATGACAGGAAGTTCTCTTCCATGTGCTCATCAATGTTGATAAAGCCTATGAAATACCTAAGTTTTGTTTCTCTCCTCCCACAGGTATTATTTTTCTATAAAAGGCCAATTATGTTGCTCTCAATCTATAAGACATAGGTTTACTACACCATGTCAGTGTTTCAGGCCTTTGCCTCTGAAAATTTATATTTTCTATTAGTATCACACACGTTGGATGGCCCGGTGCGGTAGGCTACTCCACGTGGTAATGGGCAACCCTTATTCATTGCGCCTTTGCATTGTTCTCTCATGTAATATAAGTTTACACAAGTTGATGTTCGTAAGACATGTTGTATATTAGTTTGTAGACTCTTATGACAGGAAGTTCTCTTCCATGTGCTCCTCAATGTTGATAAAGCCTATGAAATACCTAAGTTTTGTTTCTCTCCTCCCACAGATGACCCTGTAGAAGGTAGTACGACATTGTTTGTCTGTTGTTAACAGAGCTGTAGAAAGGGGTGTTGGTTCCAGTTGCATCATGTTACAGTGCCAGTACATGAACCCTTGACCCCAAAGGTCATCAGATATTCAAGGTCACAAATTAACATCATATTAAATATGAAGGTCACCAAAGGTCAAAGTCATGAGATATATACGCCTTCAAACTTTGAAAAATAAAATATCCGGTCGTACAAATAAGGCAAAACCGAAAATCAAAACTCTGTCCTCAACAAGTTTTAGACAATCGTTAATTCTATCACTTGACACCAAAATTGTTCAAATCAGACAATAAATAGCTCCAAAATAGCAAGTCTGCATATTGAGGCAAACCAAGATGGCAACCTATATGTTATTTCCGGTACAAATTTTTTTAGTTGTAACACTTTGTATTAGTGACACTAAGCTTATGCATATGTCATTTCTGACATAACTCAATTTCGCTGGAAGTGATGCTACCGGAAGTTCTAACATCGAAACCGGAAGTGATGAACATTTTTGATTATCCAGAATTATTTGCCCATACCGACGGTCTACGCCATATAAATTTCAAATCGATCCGTTAAAAAGCAACCGAAATAGCAAAAGGAAACCCTAGCAAAATCGAACGATAAATACGCCCTTTACAGTCCATTTCCGTTTTTTTTTTACTATCTCACTTCCGGTTGCGC